TAGCAATGCATGGATACTGTCTGGGTGCTGCCATTGACATTGCGACTGCTTGTGACGTTCGAGTTGCCACGAAAGACGCCGTACTCTCTGTGAAAGAGGTTGATATCGGAATGGCAGCCGATGTTGGAACATTGAACCGACTACCCAAAGTGGTAGGCAATCACAGTTGGATCAAGGATGTTTGTATGACTGCCCGCCATTTCTCAGCAGGAGAAGCACTTCAATTCGGTATAATACCTTTTTTTCTGTGTTTCTATCCATTTTCAAATCTTTCATTTAGGTCTTCTCAGTCGTGTCTTTGACACCCGCGAAGAAATGATAAATGATGTGACGAAGATGGCAAAACTGATTGCTTCGAAAAGTCCGGTTGGAGTACAGGGGACGAAGAATGTTTTAAATTACGCAAGAGATCATTCGATTGAGAACAGTTTGAATTATGTGGTTGGGTTTAGAATCTTTTTTGGAATTTCAATGTACTGTTTTTCAGGCCACGTGGAACATGTCGCAACTGTTCACTGATGACCTCATCAAAGCGAGTATGGCATCCTTCTCCAAAAAACCACAGCCTCCATTTTCAAAGTTGTAACCGGAAACATGATTTCTTATAATAAGCACTATATAGAGCAATTAATGAAAATGTAAAATGTGTGAAAGAAAAAGGCTCTATTTGAGTTTAGTGGTCCCATGAGATTTCAGCCGTTCTATAGGATTTGAATGATCCCATGAAAGTTATGTATCTGTGATGCCCTTGTTTTTTTTTCAAAATATTGGAATATTTTACATCTTTGATCATTTTACAAAAATACAAAAAAGGGGAGAACGATTTGGATAGTTGGCAAAATATGAAAATTCTTTGGGAATACCGTTCTATTAGAGGTTTTACGGTATATAAGTTTTAAATTACTTTGAACATTTTGGAGAGTGTAAAACAGACCTAGATTGAAAACTTAGCATTTTCAGAATTTTTTGAAAATTCCTAGTTTTTCATCTATTCGCCGGTTTCTGAGAACTCCCAATCTAGCCTTTTTTCAATTTGAAAAAATAGGTGTTTTCAAGAAATCGGCAAATATCTATCTGAAAAATGGTAAAAAATTGTAAAAATTGTAAATATCTAAAAAAATTGTAATTTCCAGAAATTCTGTGAATGCAAAGTTTTCACTCTAGGTCTGTTTCACACGCTCTGATATTTTCAGCGAAATTGAAACCTGACCGCCGAGCTCCAGGCTTCGGAAAATGGTCAGAATGGCTGAGCATCAACAGGAAAAAAATGTTTTTGTATATATTCTTGACCCATACTGTGGGTGAATCCTACTCGAATAGAAAACTAGCGGGCCCAGGGCATCTAGAGAAAATGTATTTATTTATATGAGTTTGTGGTCAAGACTATTGATAAGGTACCTTTTATGGGATACAGTGTAGTGTTGTGAGTATCCTAACTGTTTCTTTCTTCTTTTCTCTCTTTCTCAACTTCTTTCTTCTTCATCCACACGTGTGTGTTGTCGGTTCCTTTCGGACTGATAACAGAGGCAGTTGTTCTTCTCATTTTCGATTCAGTGACTCTGGGAATGAGAAAATGGAATCAATTAAATCAGGAAGAAGAAGATCGAAGCATGCTTAACATGAAGAAGTATGTGAAAGAAGGACACCGGGAAAGTTGTAAATCAGCCAAGCGGACGGAAGGGGGACGGAAAAGAACGTGTTTTTGCCCACAGTAGTGTCCGTTCACCGTACAAGTGTCTCGCTCTCAAGGCAAGCTTCTTCTCTATTCAAACTAACTGTTTTCTCTTTTTTTTTCTCACATATTTCTCTTTTTTCGACATTTCCATAAAGAGATAATTCGATTGTGTGTCTGAAGAATCAAGATCACTATATTAGCATAGTCCCTCTTCTTCTCTCTTCTCTTCTCCCAACAAGATCCTTCAATGCGCCGAAAGTGCAATCTTTTCTTTTCTGGTCGCTATGATTTCTAAGAACTTCTTATTTCATGGATACCTGATTCTTGTTTTTTCGTCCGGTTTGATTGCTCAGTTTGTATCAAATGAGAGTATAAAGGTGAGTGTGGAAATTGGAAGTGGCTACGGTAGAATGAGAGGGAGTAGGTCAGACACTAATCTTACCGGTTCATAAAATGATCTACTTTTGACACCCATTCTTGTACAAGAACATTAGTCGTTCTATAGAAGTCGTTACAAGATGTCTTGTTCCTGAATAATCCGATATGATTTCATAACGCTTTGAACTTTTTGGATCACATTCTACTGTATGAGAACGCCCTCCAACCCGTTAATTTTGAGCCTATATTTCTCGAACCGAGATAAATTGTCTGAAAGTTGAGATTCAGGAGGTCATTTTATTAGAGTGGGTACGGTAATTACAGTAAGGAATTGATAAGGAGTGGTAGTTCAGAGTTGATATGGAGTGTTGCGGGATATATTGCTCAAGGAAACTTATGTTTTCAGCTCCACGATATTCTGAAACCCTCGGACACCCATCGGCTTTTTGATACGTTACAGTATTCCGTAGAAGAGCAATATTCAGATTCACATCTATCGTTTGTAAGTTTCATCCTATCTAAGTCATCAGTTATATGTATGTCATGTTCAGGATGTGTCCACAATTTACAACTACTCCGAGAAACCGATTTCGATTGGCAAGCTCAACCGAAAATACAGGTAATCATTATTTCTTAAATATTTATCAACACTCATTTTCAGAGATATTCTATACGAAGGGGATATGGCAATCAGCTATAAACAGTTGAGTATAATTGTGAACGGATCAACTGAATACCGAAAAGTAATAAAGCCACGTTCAAAAGACAAGAAGAAGAATGGATTACGAAGAGAAAAACGGCAAGCATATTTGGACCAAAATTACCCAGCAACGATATGGAAGAACGGCGTTCCGTTTATGTTTCATGAATCTCTTAGTTAGCTTTTATTCATCTTGAAGTTTCCATCTGTAATGAATTCCAGGTCCATTGGCAAAAGCATCTATTCTAAAAGCAATCCATTTTTGGTATCGAGAGACTTGTATTGAATTTCGTCCGAGGACATTCCAAAAAGAGGTATTCTTGTTGTTTGAGTTATTGCTGATTGTGTCTTTTTGTAGTATCTGCTATTCATAGGAAATGACGAGGGATGTTGGAGTACAGTTGGCAGAGATACATCTCAAGGAAAACAAGTCGTTAGTATTGGTGAAGGGTGTGAGCATGTTAGTTTTAGATGAAAATACTTTATTTTAACTTTAACTGTTTTCAGTTCGGAGTAACATCTCATGAACTTGCACATGCTCTTGGAATATTTCATGAGCAATCGAGGTTCGATAGAGATGAATCAGTCACTTTTAATCCCAGAGTTGTAGAAAAGGATTTGTTGTTCAATTTTGCAAAGGTATGTATAATTTGCATGTTCCTGACGCATAGAATGACTTCAGATATCTCCACGTCAATTATCAACCTATGGATTACCATATGACGTCGGAAGTGTCATGCACTACACACCAACTGAGTAAGAGTCCGAAGTTTGATGCCAGAATCAGAAATTTCTGCAGATTTTCTAACTTTCCATCAATTCCAACTTTAGCAGCCGTCGACACAAACCTTCAGCAAACTATGGGTCAATTGGAAGGCCCTTCTTTTGTAGATGTGCACATCATGAATCAGCACTATCAATGTCAAGGTATTCATTCTTTAGCACCGTTCACTTATTTCTATACTGAAAAAAACCAGGGCCCATCCCATAAATTTTCCTGGTTGGCCTGGCCTGGTAAGCTGGGGTTTTCCACATTTGAAAGCTTATTGAAAATTTCTGAAATTTTGTCAAACTTTGTTGTGAACGTTTCTTAATGACACTCCGTTCTTTGCAAATTTTTCCTTTGGCGTTATTTTTCATTGACCTATAAAATTGATAGGAAGGAGAAAGTTAGACAAGTCGTTTATTTTTTCATTGACCTCGATTTTTTGGCAATGCAAGAAAACATTCTGAAAGCCCGGGTCCAAACGGGCCGGCCTTTGAAAATTCTGAAAAAAAAAACTCAACCCGGCTCGGACAAGTATGCTCATTTCAATGGGGTTTCAGACAGATGCAAGACTAAAGCTCCTTGCCAAAACGGCGGATTTACAAACTCCCGAAACTGCAACGTCTGCAAATGTCCAACTGGGTTTGGAGGTGCTTATTGTAATCTTATTGCTCCCTCCTTTTCGAAATTTTGTGGCGGTGTGCTCAACGCGGAAGAGGTAGGGAAACGTGATTTCCTTGCAGATGAATTCGTATTTTTCTGTTTCAGACATCCAGAAGATTTGATATAACTATTCGACAATCAACAACCACTCGATCGAAGTCTTGTGTTTATCATATCAAGGTGAGAGATACAAACTATTTGGGGAAAATAAAAAAATATTCCAGGCTCCCGAAGGGAAGAAGATTATAGTGGATATTCTGAAAATAGACTCAAAGTGCATTGAAGGCTGTTATCAAGATGGATTAGAATTAAAAATGAAGAAAGATTACAGACCTATGGGATACAGGTTTGTTTCTAGTGTTTAAGCCAAAAATATATCATTTCAGATTCTGTTGTCCTGAATCTTTCCGAAGGAAAATCATATCAGAGACAAATCTTGTACCTTTTATAGTCTATTCTAGAGAAGAAAACTTTTCTGTATCATTTGAATACTCTTTTGGTAAGCCTCTCCAGTTATAGTTTTACAAAATCCCGTTTAATTTCAGTATCTTCCACTGCTAGATTCGATGATGGAAATAGCAATCAAGACGTTGTAATTGACAATGCCGATGGAGTTTTTGTATCGGATTCAGAATCTTCCTTTCTCCAGAAATTAGGATTTCAGAGACATTTATAGCATTTCCTCCTTTTTGCTCCCGGTTATTCTTCCTAAGCTTTATCATTTTCCAGTCCCTGCCGTGCTTTCTCTTTTCACTCTCTGTTTTGATCTTATTTCATATATAATTTATTATTTTCGAAAAAAAAAGTAAAATGTTGAAGCTGATATCATATATAATTGTTGGCAAAATGTCGATGAAAATTGTAGACTTGTATCCCCAAATATCACACAAAACTTTTCTGTTTTCGATGAAAATCGTTGCTCACTATTCTCCAAATGACAGGTGATTTAGGCAGGTGAATACATCGTTTCGTTAAACTGAAATTAGAAAAAAAATTATAAGATGAAACAGGTGATTCTTTGGGATTGAAAAGCTACTGTACTGTGACGTCATCTCACCTGATCAAATGAGAGTTCCATTATTGATACCTTGTTGCTCATCATTATTACTTCGCGAATTCTCTGAAAACTCAAAGATCTTTCAACAGATTTTACAGTATCCTCACCGGTGGTTCTCCGTTTCTAACATGTCGTCGCTTGCATTGAATATAAGTTCGGCATTTCAGAATAACATAGAATCCGACCATTTGAATCATGAAAATCGTTGGACACACAACGATCACAATTTTCGCCATAACTGTGTCACGATGCGAGATGTTTCCCTGAAAAACAATGTTCAGTTCCTTTTTCTTTTGAATAACAAACCTCAGAAAACAATTCGCCTACTGCAATCAGAGTTGTGATAGCATTGAGAACTGCAATGAACAAGTGATAAGCAAATGCAGGCATTAACCATTGAGTTTGAAGCTAAAAGAAACATTGAAATGAGGATTGATTGGGAGAAACTTGAACTTACTCTAGTTGAGTATAAAGAGTAGAGGATTAGACCGTGGGAACTACATCCACCGATCAGGAAGCAACAGAATGCGATTTTTGCTGAAATAGGTACCAATTTATCAAAGTCGGAGACAGGATAAAGACATTTTCACTTTCAGCAGTCTTGAGCTCGGCTGTCAAATTCCCGATCACTTCGAAAATTTTGGAGGTTATAAAACAAACCTAGATTGAAAACTATGCATTTATAGAGTTTTTTGAAAATTCCCAGTTTTTCAGTTATTTGCCGAGTTCTAAAGTACAACTGCTTTTTTTCACATCTTCAGTACAAAAAATAGGAAAAAAGGGTGTTTTTCGGGAATCGGCAAATAACTGAAAAATGAGAATTTTCCAATAATCCTGTGAATACACTGTTTTCAATCCAGGCCAGTTTTATAACCTCTAGAATTTTCAAAGTGATCTAAAACTTGACAGCCGAGCTCCAGACTACTGAAAATGGTCAAAATCCACTGAAAAACACTTTTTGACCAACACTGTATATAAATATAAGCAGCACGCCGGCTGTTTTTTTTTTCTGAAACTCCGAAGAATTGCCTGTATTCTTTCCTTGAAATAAATTTTTAAAAAAGTAAATATCTTAAATCCTATATCAAGATATTATTTTTCTTCATGGGAGTTTGATTTTCCAGCTCAACGATCGGAAACGGAGTGTAGGCGATTCCGCATCAACGAGCATCATATCACCTCTCTCCCAATGACAAACTTGAACTCAAACCTCAAGCTCAAAAATTCATCAAACGAAATGGCTCTAAATCAGAATTTCTCATTTACAACGGATCTTCGATTCTGATTTTTTTTAATCACAAAAAAACAACTCGAAACGTTAGATGGGTGAGTTATGATCAGGAAGGAACAAACTCAACACCAGATTCTCATTTCCACAGACCACGCGCTTAGAAAAAAAAAGTTGGACTCACCGGTCATGTTAACTGAATCCTCGTAGAGATGCCATGGAAAAATCATTAACCCGAAAGAGAATACTCCTATAGTGGCACAGATTCCGAAGAATGCACAAAACGATGCTACATATTTGATATGGATTCCACCGCACACTCGGAAACGGTCCGCGTTTTCGTCGAATTCCATTCTTCTGGAAAGATCTATGAATGTTCCTGGTACAGAATTTGAATCTTAAATGGAAAAAGAGATTTGTAGTTGATTAAGGAGAAAAACAGAAGAAGAAAAAAACGAAATAGGGTAACTACGAATTTCGGGTAGTAAATAATATTTAGATCTAGAATCTAGATACCCGAAAAATTTTGTGGTCATTGTTTTTCTCTTGCTGTTGCCTCGTTTTTGGTTTCCTCTAGAGATGAGATATATATTCCTAATTAACAATCAAAGCACATGACTATATTAGGTTGGTGAGAAGAGTTGTGAAATGAGAAAACGGGGCGGAGGGAAAAGAAAACGAGGGGGGAAGATAAAAATTTGGGAATGAGCATGTGAGAGGACGAAAAACACAATTGTTGAGTAGCAACCGGAAAGTGGGAAACAAATTGGAAAAAAAAGAATAAAAAGGAGCAAAAGAGACAAGCGTCACATAATCAATTGACACCTATAAATGCATTTTCGAGACTAGAGCCTATTGGGTGATGTCAAACTTTTTGGAAAATGAAGTTTTTGGGAATTTTTTCTATCGTTTTTTTGAAATTACTTGGAAAGTATACTTGTGACCCAGGGGCCTGGCAGGCCTACGCGGGCTCTGTCATAGTTTCTTTAGAATTATCCTTTTGGACTAACTAAATCAGATATGATAGAACTCGGCGAATAAAACGATACAAGTCATAAAGGGTTTCTCCGGGCCTGGCCGGGCTCAGCCTTTTCTTTCAACCCTTACTTTAAAGACAAGAATATTTTTTCTAAAAGAATAATTTTTTAGTACTCGTCTAGTTTTATCTTATCCAGTTTAGTTGACTCAAAAATATTGATTCGAAACGAAACTAAGGCAGGATCCGTTTTACAAAAATGGTGGAACGCAAAATCACGGTTTGTGCTCTGAATTTGTTAAATTTTTTCTGTTTTGCATCTGAGAAATTCCGGGATTCCAGGGAAAAACATTGGCAAGAGAATTAGTAACAAAAATTAATTTTCTTGCATGTGCTCGGTAACAATGTCTAATGACAAGAATGACGCGAAACTTGAATCTTACTATTTGAAAAACACAATTCCTCAGTACAAGATGTGTGAAGCCTTTCTTTCTACAAACGGAAGAATTTTTGAGGGGATCACCGAATATAGTAACCTAGTTATACACGGAACCAAACTTTTCTGTGAACACCTAATCTACCGGAACAAATAATACTCCTATTTCAGACTACTTTCAGTTGGGGAGACGAATAAAAAATGAAAAAAAAGAGAGAAGGCGAGTGAGAATGGAAAATCACCTTTTTGAATGAATTATAATTATTCCTAATTGCGATTTCCGTCGAGATTCAGAATAGTACTTTTCATGGAGATAGTGCAAAGGACATTCGAATCGTCATCTTTTTTAGGAAATTGATATTTATTTCGAGAAAAAGGGGATAAAGGGAAAACCCTAAAGGAAAGAGTGAGATATGTTGCTGCTAGAAAAAAATGTGATTTGCAAGGCAGACTAACGAAAAACTAATCGAAAATGTTAGTTTTCTGTGCAGTTGGAAAAAAATATGAAGCCTGCGTCAGAAATGAGAACCAAAAGTCTGGCGGTGGGAAAAACACGAAAAGCCAGAACAATACCTTGATTCATTCTTCAATTAATGTTTTTGGTTCTCAAGACTACCTAATTTTGAGATATCCGGTACTTTATAAATTCTCTTTTATAGTGGAAACCACAAAATGATGACGGAAGTTCCAAAAAATTGTATCAATTTTTCGTCAATGCTTTTTGATTCAATGTATGAACAGACAATATCCGTCTGTCTTCTGTTTTTCTAGGTGTGTTCTCAAACTCTTGAACCCAACTGATCTAGTCTTCATTGTTCTCAGAGCTAATGCGTTTTTTTTCTTTCAGCAGCAAAAATTCTAGCACTTTGCATACTTGTTAATCGGACCAAAGGCCCCAGTTTACAAGTATGGTGAAATAGATTAACAATTTTTAGCTTTCGAAATAATTATTGTGCAGAGATTTCTGGTTTCCACAGACTGCCCAACGTGTGATCATAAAATTTTCCCTTAGTCTAGAAGCTAATTGCTCATGGGAATATTTTTTGATCTGGGAAAGTTTGAAGTGAAAGTGAGAATTGTGAATAATCAGATCGATTTATCAAAGAAGGGGGGGGGGGGGGACTTTTTGGCTAGATTGTGTGGAGCTTATCTGAACGATATTTAGTTTTTTTCATTTCCTTCTCTCTCAAAAAAAATCAAACTACTTTTATATGAAATTGGTAATCGGAAAGGCTCTCAATTACCCAAAGAAATTGAAAACAGTGAAAACAATTGTATAATTCTTCTTAGAAATATTTAGCCTAAAAAAATTGTCTGAAGTTGATAACCAGTACGTAACATTGAACTAAGTTTCTTTTGAAACCACTTGGGAATACCACCTAATTGTAACAAAATATAGCTCTTCTGCAGAGGAAAGTCGAATACTTGGAAAGTGCACTAAAAAGTGTGTGTTTCTGGAGAAAATGGAAAAAGTGGAAATCTTTAATTTCGAGTCATGTGCTAGGCGAAATCTCTGACAACTTGCCTTTCTTAATAGAAATATATAAGACGGGGCAGTGGCGCCTGTAGCTCCGCGAGCTCGAGTAATTGGATTTTTCAGCCGTTTATCTGAGATTGCAGCTGCACGAACTTTGGCTTATATTGGCAGCTAAATCGAAATGTTTGTGTTTCACATTCGATGTTTTTGAGTCTTAGATTTCTTTAGAAACTAGAGGGTGGAGCTTGTGAAAATTGCACAAAATTGTAGTGTTGAACTTTTGAAATGTTGAATGAGAAGAAGTGGAAAATTGTATTTTAGTTTTTCAAACAAGAAAAGAAGAAGAAACAGAAAAAAACCAGGAAGAAAATGCAAAGAAAATTCAAATTTATTTTAGTCACAATTTTGAAATGTTTGGTTTTGGTTTCAAAGTAGAGGCCCGATGGGAAAATTGAGTGAAATATTTAACAAAAAAAAACAAAAAACAGATCGTATAGTAAAAGACCCGTTTGGCTGAAAGAATTCTAGTAAAAGTACATAAAATAATTAAATGACGTTGACGGAAAGCTGATGAATACAATTCGATTTGTAACTTGTTAGTTTCGTTCTCTTGAGAGGTAGTACCACCAATAGAATACTGAAAATAAGTTGATTGATAAGTTTTCTAGTGAAACTGATTTACCATTGAAAGCTGCAAACATGGCTGGAAATGCTTTTGCTGCGAATGAATCAACTCTTGCTCCCATATCAGCTGAAGCTTCTCTTGAACTGTTGTTCTTCCAACTTATGCCATTTCCATTCGTTTCACCGCTGAAAAACAAATATACTGTTTATTGTGGAAAAGAAATGCTTATACTTTCAGTTTAAGAGTGATATCAGTTTTTAGGTTATTGGCCATGAAAGGGTAGCTTTCTGATTTCTAGAAAATTGTGAATAGAAAAGGTGGGAATATTCAATTACACTTGAATAACACAATCTAGAAAGAAAAATATCCTTTCTTAAAACTCGAACTCCATGATACCGTATACACTCTAACTGAGTACCACTTAAACTTTCAACTCTGAACCCAATATATACAATACCGGTCAAAAAGATATTCAAAAACGTATTTTTCAGTCGATTTTCGGCAATTTGTACCATTTTCAGGAGTTTGGAGCTCGGCTGTCAGATGTCCGATCCCTTTGAAAATTTTTGAGGTTATAAAAAAATTCGCATTCACAGAATTTTTCTAAAATTGCTAGTTGTTCAGATATTTTCCGATTTTTGAAGGACACTTGTTTTTTTCACAGTTTCAATATAAAAAGCAATAAAAAAAGGAGTGTCCTTCAGAAATTGGCAAAACTGAGAGTTTTCTAAAAATTATGTGAGTACAAAATTTCAAAGTTTTTAATCTAGGCCTGTTTTACATTCTCCAAAATTTTCAAAGTGATAGGAAACTTGACAACTGAGCGCAAGACTCCGGAAAATGGTCAAAATGGCCGAAGATCAACTGAAAAAAACGGTTTTGTTCATCTTATTGACCGGTACTTTATCTCCTTTCCTACTAAAGATATCAAAAAGTGTTTTAACTGACAAACTATTTTCAATATTATTATAAACATTTTATCAGTTGGCCAATATTCGATATCCTTTACAGGAAATGATTTATATGGGCCTAAAGTTGAAGGTTTGAGTGGCACTCTAGAGTTTGTACGGCAATTTAGTAATTCAATAACTTGGTTTTTTTTTTGACCTCTGAAATTAATTTTTCTCGCATCCCGACCAACCTGATATTATACAACTCTTCATCATCATTGTTGTTAATATTGTATCGTGCAGAATTGCACTTTGATGTACACGAGTACTTTCTGAAACTCATTGGTCGATCACTGAAACAACTGACACTAGACATATATTTCTTTTTCCTTTTTTCCCCGTTCCACTCACTTCTTTATCGTGCCTCCGGCGATTGCTCGCTGAAATTTGATTCTTCGTGACCTCCTCTTGATTTCTGTTATTTTATCAACGAATCCGACGACTGCTAACTCGACGAGTGAAAAGAAGATGAAAGCAACACACACGAAAAACCAGAGATCGATGGCCTAAAAAGAAAAAACTAGCATATTTGAAAAGACTGTTCAACACCTACTTTTACGAATGAAACACGCGGCAAATTCTTCACAATGTTACCGAATTGAAACGTGAGAGCCATCAGAGAAGATACTCCAAGAGTGATTCTGGCTGGTAGAGCACGAGTGTCAATCCAGAAAGCAATCCAAGAGATAAATACTGATAAATATGTTGGGAGATACATTTGCAGAACATAGTAACCGTACAGTCTTTTGAACCTGAAAAAAAACAATACTAGTTTCATTGTTGAAAAGAGTATAAACAAATCTAGATTTGAAAAATTTTGAAATTTTGGGTCTCACCACGAAAAGATAAAACATATTGTATCTCTTCTAGTTTTTCCCCCAATTTCTTGAAAGTTGAACAGTTAGAAACGTATTGTTATGGGCTTCAAAATGAGTACAAACACATATGATATATCTATGTTCGAACATTTTCAGTAGTTTGGATCCCACAACGAAAGTTTTAAAAGTACTGTATCTCCGCTAATTTTGCTCCAAATTTTATGAGAAATATATCAGTGAATTGATTGAATACCTAGGTTTTTTTACTCTTTCTGCTTAAAATTTGATTTATAACAAATCCTAAACTTTAGAAATAATTTTTCTATGGAATCAGGAACTTTTTTGCAGTTTTCTTTCTTTCTCAATTTTGAAAACAAGGTTTTCTTCTTTTGTTAGACTCGGAAATTCCTTACGAAAATCCCTTTACTTTGAAATGTCTACACCTTCAATTTTTTGTTCCTCACCTAAAAGTGACTTTCAGTTGATCCCACATTCCAGCCGTGTACTCATTTGACGTTTTACCCCATGTAACATTATAAAATTGGAAGTCCGGTAACCGAAAATCTTCAGGAGGCGGCATTGTTACAGGAGCCCATTGTTGCCAATTCAATCGAACTTCTGCTATATTATATGAATAGGATTCAAAAACAAGATGACATTCTTGAGCGTCAATTGGAAATCTAGACAGTTCAAAACTGCATGGAGCTGATACTTGAACTCGGTAGTTGAGCCAAACTGTTCCTGAGAAAAACACACCATTCAGTCACATTTTAAATGAGTTGGAAAAAAAAGTTACCATTCGGATAAATGATAAGAAGAATATTTGATGCGGGTGACTTGTGCACTTGGGTGCTTTTGCTATTCACAAAACACACATTGGGTGTCCAAAGACGTTCACTGACATAACTATCCAACGATAGATTTGTTTTACAAGATATGTTCCTGGAAACGAACAAGTGAAATATTTGATATTCTGAAAAATCACAAACCTATATTCTAACCGAGGATCTTCCCATACTTGGCTGAACCAAACATCCGCAATGAACGAACTCGAAATTTCGGATATTGACGAAATGTCCTGAAGAAATTAAGTTAAGAGTGGCCAGAAAAAAACTAGTTTCGTTTTTGATGAATCAGATACATAAACTAAATTAGCAGTGGATATGACGTTTATAGAATGTCAGTCTGGAAGGTAATCCAATTGGATATGATGTAAATTTTTGTTCTGAAAGGAACAAATCTTACTTGAACTGTCAACTCCACACTGACTTGTACCGAGTTGTTCGATGGTACCATTGTTTTGTCATAATCTTGTAGTAGATCCTGAAAGAGAGTTTAATTTACAGATAGGTTGTCATGAATGAGACAAAGAAGTTTATCTGACTTGTTGAAATTATTTGCAAGACTCATATTGGGCAAGTTAGGGTTTAGCCTAACTTATAGCCTAAGCCTAGTGTAAGCCTAACTCAAGCTTAACTTATCAATGTTAGCCTAAAAACAGGATAGCTCTATTGTTCAGTTTTTGGACGTTATCTCTGTTTTCAGGCGAACTATGGTACCTACCGCATTTTCTCTATTGGAAGCCCACCAAAAAAGTCAAGTTTGAGCTCTATCATCTCGATTCCTGTAAAAAATATCGAAAATAGGGCAACTGATAAATTATTCATCATAATATCAGAAATATTTTATCAATTGACAAAATTTTGATATCTTTCACAGGAATTGAGTAAATTGAGCTCATAGTTGACGGTTTGGGTGAGCTACGGTAAGAAGGATCCAAGCGTGAGGAACTAGGTGATTTTTCTAGCTTCTACTTTTGAAAAAAAAAACTCACTGTTAAAATACTTTTCCTATGGTTTGAATTGTATTCGCAGGGTGGTGTATCCGGTTCAGCAGTTTTGACCTCTTTTGCTACAGTCGAAATGAGAAGCATATAGATGACATCGTGCAGCATTCTAGAATTCATGACTCAGAATAAAAAGAGAAGTTCGTTCGGAGCAACAGAGCACACAATTCAGGAAAAGAATAAGGATGTGTTGTGAGGGTGTAACCGAGAAAAGACACACCGAAACAGGATTCACGCAAATTCGGAGACCATTGAATTAGAGAGAAGCGGTAAACGAGACGAAGAAGCAAAGAAGAAGAGGAGAAGGACTGGTTGAGTAAAATATGTGTCAGAAAAAAATGTGGAGGAGTGAAGACAAAAGTTCGTGTCCCAATAGTGGACAGCTAACCAACCAAACGATAAACTGGTTAGAAAAAGAAAAAAGGGAGAGAGAGAGAAAGAGCCACACTTTTAAGTAGATTTCGAAGGGAAACACAAATGAAATGAAATGCGAAAAGGGCGACTGTAAATGGAAATAGAAGCCATGTGTCAATCACTGACGTCTTCTAATTTTGGCTTCCGGAAGAGAAATTTAAATTCTCAAAGATTTAGGCTTCCGGTGGGTGATGTCAAAGTGATTGTTCCAATGGAGCAAACGAGTATTTTTGTATTCGGAAGATGAATAAGATGGGCGGAACCATGCATAATTGACAGGTTTCTGCGGGAAAAATCGGGATGTTTGAACTTACATGAGTGGTCTAGACAAAGAAAAATATAAGGGCGTGTTCAAGAATTATGACATGGGTTAGAATGATAACACTTTTGAATACCTCATAGTGATTACTTTAAGCTGCGCTTATAAGTTAAGAATTGGTATTCGGGCGTTCAAAAAATTGAATCATAAGCATATTCGTTTTTCTTTATAATCAGAGCTTGGCTAACCATTGCTCATAGAATTAGAAGAATAAACAGGAAAAAGAAAGAAGCTGGTTTACATAGAATAACAGTAAATCGCGCTTTAGCAGATTGTAAAAAATCAGAGATTATTTTTTTAAAAAGGATCAAGATTGTTCATCATTTGAATCAACTATAAACAGACTTCCAGAAACTTGAAACGGACTTAGAACGGTTCCAAAACGGGCCCTTTAATGATTCCTATTAGGATCAATATTTTCTTACCAACTGAATGCGTTATGATAGAACTTGACGAGTACTACAAAATTATATTATCTGGAAAATTGTATCTTTTCTATGAACAAAGTTACAAACAAAATGGGCCAAAAAAACAGGCAGCGCCTGACCCGGATAGGATCGACAGCTTTTTCGCTTGCAACTTTGCTCACAAATAAGCTTTAGTTTTTCAAATGTTGTCTTTTTGTAGTACATGTCAAGTTCTATCATTTCAGTTCGTCATTATTCAATTCGTCAGATATTATTCTTCCTTAAAAAAACTATGGAAGGGCATCGGTTTTTTCAAGTATTCTTAAGAATTCCGAATCACGAGGGTGTACCCATTTTGGAATAGGTTTGTTGATTCCTTTTCAAGACCCAAAGCGACATGTTTTTCAAGAAACTTTGCCCTTTTTGTTGTTCCACTTTTACAGGTCGTCTGGGGAAATAACAAATTTTTGGGAGTAAATCGGAACCAGGTAGAAATTATAAAACTCTGAGGGTTTTTCTGACACCACGATTCTAGTAACTTGAAAAAAAGGGGCATTTCAAAACGCTGGAATAGTGCAGACATCCTCGAAAACTCTTCCAGTAAAGTGAAAATACAAACTAATGTCTTTTTTGGCTTCCCGTGGGAAAACTGAAGTTCAAAAAGGCGAGAAAATCTGTTTTGACCAGTGCTTAAAACTCGAAATAGAAAATGAAAGAGGAGAAAAACGAGTTCATCAGAAACTAATGATTAATCCTGCCTCTAGAATGCTGCCAATGACATCTTCTTCTTCGTCTTTGGTTGATCAGTAAAAAAAGAATAAGATGAGCAAGTTGAGAAAGAAAAAGAAAAAGGGGAAAAAGTGTTCGGAAGAAAGGGGTTAGGTCCGACTCGATTATAATCCGGTCGACGAGACGAAAGTAACAAGGAAAAAACCAAAAACAACTCAGATATTTGGTCGAGGTTTAGGGAAAGGAAAAAATGGAAATGTACATGGAATAGTTCTGGAAATTTATATTCATTAAAAATCCACAGGTTTCAATTTGTCTAGTCAAATTTTCAAGAAAATTTACGAATCTAGACAATTTTCGAATTATTTTCAAAGAAAAAATCTTGTATTTCTGGAACCGTGAATTTCCTCAAATAAATTTGTTTTCTGTGAGAATTTGCATGTTTGGAGTTCTGGGTTGTATGAACCGTAGGTTGGTTGGCCCATAACAGTAGTGCATAAATAATTGTACTTCTCAAAATATTGGTGGAAAAGTTTAAAAAAACGATTTTTCTAGGCCACCTTAGTTGATGGTCCATAAATGGTCTAACATGTAGCAGGTGAGTTTTCTAGGTCATTTAACATGAAGGCTTAGGTTTTTCAGGTTGAGTTTTCTAGACTGCCAACTTTCATTGACAAGAAATGCCGTGATATTTACCTGGTTGGTGTCCTAGGTCATTTTGACATGATGGCCTAACTTTAGGAAGTCGAGTTTTTTTAGGCCACCACAATGTATAATCTAGAAAGTGTCTAACATTCACCTGGTGTTTCTTCTAGTCCACTTTACATGGTTGGCTAACTTTCGCCAGTTAGGTTTTCTAGGCCATTTTAAGATGGTTGCCTAGCTTTCGCAAGATGAGATTACCGTGGTAAGTGGCTTAGAAAGGTGAATATGAGCCCATTTCTAGGTCACTTACCACGATGGGCGAAAAAAATTACTTTGCAAAAGTTAGGCAACCAGGATAAAATTGCCTGGTAGCCTAACTTTTGCAAAGTAAATCAGTGTTCGAAACAGGTCTTTCGAAAAACGCATACTTCTCAAAAAGACTCAGATTGCAAGAGTATTCTCTTTGTCGAAATGAACAACGAGATCCTAGTTTTCGAAACAATGGAAAATGGCATGGATGTACAAACTAAGTCCGTTTAGACTTGATGTTTCTCACTTGAAAATTGACAAGTTTATTGCAGTTTTGATGTTGCCGTGGACATTCTAAATAAATATATATATATATACATACTCTTTCGTCTCAAGTTGCTAAATTAGAGCCAAATCGAATTTCCAAAAACTACGTAGGGCTTTTAAAACAAGAAAAATAATCCATTGATCTCATTTCTGCAGGTAACCTAACACAACTTCCTCATTAGTAAATCCTGTAATTTGATACCGATGTGATTTCTTTTTTCTCATTAACAATTGACGTAAAACAAATATCAGACACATTTTCACATTTAGGTCGTTATATGATATACTTATATCTACAATTAGATATTTCTTGTCCAAAACGGAAGTACTTAGCTAAGCTTAGGCAATTTGACACAGAAAATCAGTACATGACACGTGCAAACGGAAAAATTAAAAATGAGGGAAAAAAGCAAACGAGGTCGTCTTTCCTTCTGGAATTAGAGAGAGGAGCAAACTAAGAAAGAGTTGTGATGACGTTGAATAATTCTTCTCAGAATGGTTCCGGTTAACAACACAAATGTGTTCTTCCGTCAGGATAAAAAGGTTCTCTCAAATGTTTTTTTCTCTTTTTGGTCTGTCTAGAAAGTAGAACGAAACAAATAAATGAGGTTGGAAGGAAAAGGAATCTTGAGATGGATGTATTTTTAAAAAGTATCAAAACCTCAGAATTTGAGAGTTGACCAATCGTTTGAATATTTCATTCTGAAAATCAACGACTGATAACGTCAACTTTATGAATGACGAGTTATAGAGTGATTTTTGAAAATCCAAATAGTTCTTATAAGTGAGGCTTCGACCAAAGATGTTTACCCCATAATCCTAAAAGTTTTGCGTTATCCTAATATTCTTGCGAAAAAATATATAAAACAAAAAAAACAAAATCCCCGAAAAACGCCGCTAGAGGTGGCGAGTAGGAGATTTGAGTTACCGCGTAGTGAGAAACCTAGGCCACGGCGGCGGGACGCCTTTTTTTCATGGAAATTTTCAGGCTTTTCCCGCTTTCATCTCCAACACGTAAAAAAAATTTAAAAACCAATTTCGGTTATAAAGCCATTCAAAAAATAGGGTCGTACCGCTGTGGCCTTGGTTTCTCATTGCTCGAGAATTTAAGTCCTCGTCCCTATTCGCCACCTTATTAAATCAAATGTTCATTTTCAAAGGCGTTTTTCAGGGATTTCGGAATAATATTATGAAAATATATAACTTTGGGAACATTTTGATAGAAAAAAATTACAAAAAATAGTTTTTGATCGGAGTACCTCTTTAAAAAAAGAGGTTGGCTTCTATGTTTTTTTTTTTCTAGCCAATCTTCTCGTTCTTCCCTTTCCACTACTCTATCACAAAACCTATAAAACGATTATGATAAGGTTATTTTACATCTGTTCCTTTTAAAAATCTTGCTATCTGAGCGAGTCAGCATGTGAATCATCACTAAAAAAGACATTGTTCTGACCAGAAAACATGCTCTTAAATAACCTATGATTGTGTGAATGAAGCACAAACGCCATCTCTGTTTGAATGAAAATAGTCATTCATTCGGGCATAAAAGTAGACTAGAAGAGAGCGAAAAAAGTGGAGAAAATTGGAAAATTTTGTGAGCCTCTCTTTTCAGAATCTAGGGGCAAACGTGTGGGTATCCTCTAGTAGTGGCAACATTACCGGGATTGTCCCACGGGATGGGACAGCCGGCCTGTGTAATCGAGTAATGAGAAGAGACCGAATAAACGTTTCTCTTTCCCATGTTTTCACATTATTCCGTCCCCAAATCTGATCGAAATAATTGAAATTTGTTGCTTCGCACTTACGAGTACAACACTAGAAACGATTGAAAAATGAAATTATGGAGGTACAGCATATCAAGAATAGTTGAAACAGGGACACTGAGAAACTTTTTGGTCCATCAGGAAAGAGTATAAAAAAGAAACTTTTAGTGCCTTTTGAAAAATTCATCTGGAATACTAGTACTAGAACATGAAATGAATGCACCCAGACTTTTTTATTTCGTTGGAGAGAAATAGTAACTCAAAAACTAGAGAAGAGTTCTCTGGAGTTAATTTCAAGTCTGAAATTGAAGTTTGGAGAAAAAAATATCTCCTTGATTTTATCCGCTCGATCTTTGAAAGCTGGTACTAGTTCCCACCGATGGGAATTTTCGGTTGTGAAAAACAAGAAGTAGTGGTAGTAACTAATATTTTCAGGATCCGAAACATCAAATAGAAAAATGGGCCAATCAATTTTATTAGGGTCAAATGGAGTGAATTTTCCATACTCGTCAAATTCCGGATCAGCTCCGGTAGCTGATTTTTTGAAATTTCTGGAGAAAAATTTATTGAATTTTTCCTAAAAGCTCCGAACATTTTTTCAAAAACTTCAGAATTTGAGATTTCAGAATCTAATCCGGGCCGACAGGGCCGGCCCGGGGCTCAACTCAAATTTCAAGTGGTTTCGCCAGTAATTTTGAATCTTCGGAATATTTTTCTACACAACTTAGCAGGCTTGACTATGGTCCGGAAAAAATTGTCACCTACAAAAATAGATTTCTAAAATATTATTCATATGCTTTCCAATTTTGAGCAAAAAAGGTTGAAAAAGTGGACCACCATCGATGTCGACATTTTGGTAATAAAAAAAAGTCCAAAGGAAAATAATTATTTCTCAACTATCTCCCGATATATCCTTTATCTCAATTCCTAAGCAAGATATCAACAATTCCTTTACCGACAAAACACTTCTAATATTATGATAAACAATTTACCAGTTGACAAATTTTTTTGTATCTTTGACAGGAATCGAGAAAAATTGCCTGAAAGTTAGGTGGGTATTTCTATTACAGGTTTTACGGTAGTTTTTAATGCAGTTTCGGAACAAACAACTAATTCACAACCCGGGCCCGGGTTTTCCAAATTTGAAATTTTTTTTTTAATTTCAGGCATTTTTTCAAATTTTTTCTGTGAAAAAAACTATTTTTTATGGACACTTTTATCTTGAAAAGTTTTTAACTTGACAAAAAAATCGTCCATTTTTTCAGTTGACCCCGAAAAATTTGTTCCTGAAAACCCGGGCCGAGACGGGCCGGGCCCTGGAAACTCTGAAAAAAGCCCGGCCCGGCCCGGCCCGTTGCAAGTATGCTAATTAAATGTAAGCAACAAAACTAACTTTTGTCGTCTCGTACTTTTTGGGTCAAAGTTTACTATTCATATGCTTCCGTTTCCAAAAAAAATGAGGAAATGAGAAAGACGAAGAGTCGAATAGATTATGAACTGAGTGTATGCTCGATATCCCCCAATTGGTCATCAGTAATCATTTTGCTTGACTGGAAGGAGGCACCCACACGCGACGAAAACCATTCAGATCACGCCTTCCAGAAGAAGCCCTCCCCCCTTCAAATGGCAAACCCTGAAATTAGCACAGTGTGTGGTGAATGTGTTATGCCCTTTGCTCTTTTTTCTTTCGTCACTACAATTGGGGGAGTAGAAGAAGAAGAAATAAGACGTATGGACGACACATAAAAAATTTAACGACACCGATTCATTTAGATATTAATTAAATGTGCCACCGCCAACCTGAATTCGTCAAGAGTTCAGGTCAAAATGTACTGATAGCAAAAAGAAGGAATTCATCTTCTGAATTAATTCAAAAATTTTTGCCAGGCTTCAGATATCAGACATAAATCTCAGGAATCAATTTCCAGAATCCTAGAAATTGTGCTTTGGTCACTTTTAGAGAAAAAAACAAAATTTCGCACAAATTTTAAAGAAAATGACTCTTCTTTTTAAGATCGGTGAGAAAAAAGTCACACCTATTCGAAAGTGGATCATCCGGAAACTGAGTGTATTTTTCTTGTCTATATGAACCTTCTTTAAATTTTATTTAAAGATACATTGTTGTTTCAGCAGCGAAAATACCTTAAGTACCGTATCCCCATATTAATTTATCTTGACCCATTTATTATTATTTTTTCTATTTTGTAAGAGAATTCAGATTATTATTCATGTGAATCGGATGAAAAAATCAACGAAAAATATCGAAATCCTGAGGGAAGTAGGCTAAAATAAAATTATTTCGAGATGCGGTATCGAAGGCGTATGCACTGTTTCAAAAAAAGTTCTGTTTTCGCTGCAAGGCCGACAATGCGCCTTTAAGTAAATTTTTTTACAACAATAATATTTTTGGTACAAATCTCTTCGGACTAATTTCCGTGCCTGAAAAATGCCAAAATTCAACAAACACTATCATTTCGAACAGGAAACAAGATTTAGTTCCAACACAGAAAAAAAAACAAAAAAAGAACAAAACACAAAACGCCTTCGTTTTTCAATTTTTCTCCTCGTTTCACACCAACAACGTATTCTTAAAAATTCATAAAACGCTCGCTTTCCGAGTCATTAATAATTTTCGGAGGATATTGGAAAACGAGAACATGCTCGAAATGGAATGGAAGAGGAATAACAAGGATCTTCGTCTCTTTTTTCGAAAGCTGAGCTATTTTTAATATCGAGAAGAATTCGAATGTTATAACGTTCCATTTTTACAAATGTCTTAGAATTTTTAAAGCATTGTTTTCTTTTTTAGGAATGCTGATAGATTTAACATTGAGGCTCCTGGACATTTTTATACCAGACGAATGGATATGTTTCAGACAAGGCTGTGCAAAAAGACGGCTGGCCGCGGCCGGCCTTAACCGCGGCTCGATTTTTGAGGCCGAGGCCGGCCGCGAATAGCCTCATGAAAACGCGTGAAGTAAAAATCAATTAGTTTTTGAATAATTTCGTTTTTTTTGTCCTACTTTTCAAAAAAAAAATCTACGTTTCTCATGAAACAATTATTTCAAAAGGCCGTGAAAAGCCGCACGGCTAGCCTGGGCCGGCCGCGGCTTCTTATAATATTTTTTCTGAAGCCGCGGCCGGCTCGGCCGTAGTAAAAGCCGGCCGCGGCTGGCCGCGGCCGGCCGTGGCACAGCCTTGGTTTCAGACTACCAAAGCAACTTTAGGGTTTTCAAATAAGTTTTTTTTCGATATTCTGAAATTAAAAAAAATTCCGAAATTCCATTTTTTTTCAAAAAAAATTTCATCCTGCAATTTAAAAATGTCAGTCTGACATTCAAAAGATTTAAAACATTCCAAAATTATAGTTTTTCAAAAAAAAGTTTCCTGTATTTTTCAAATTCAAAAATGTGTTCTATCAGAAAGTGGGCTCCGCGTCACTTCGAAACCGCGACATTTCGAAACCGTGGTAATACAGGCAAATGGATAAATTTCAAACTACAAGAATAGTTTTTCGATTTTCAAATATGATTTTACTGATAGAACACATTCTCAAACTCAAAAGATTCACAAAAAAATTCTGGAAAAGTTTTGGACTTCTTCGGATTTCAGAACGCGTTCTATCAGAAAAATGATATTTGAAACCCCTAAACTTGTTTTTTTGTAATCCTATCCATTAGCCTGATTGTCAGAGTGGCGAAATATCCCGGTGCCAAAAGTGAGGCTAAATTCGTTTTTTTGTTGTTTTTCGATTTCACTTTCAAGCATAACTACCGTATTCTCTGACCAAAACATATTGATGTTTTTGAAAGAAGAGCCAATTTGGTAAAGGTCGAAAAAAGAGAGAGCGAAGTCTCAAAAAATTTTGCAAATTGTTCGAGAATTCGCGTGCTTGTCATCTATTAGCATTCGAGTGAATTAGTTAATTGGAAGTAGGCGGAGGAGTTCAGATGCAAAAGTGCACGACGTCGTCAGGAAATTCTATTAGGTAAGTCAAAAATGACGACGTGGAGGTCCACAGGCATTCCAAGAACACCGTAGAGTACATGATGAAAGTATTGACAGAAAGAGTGTTCGAATGGGGCGCCGTTCTTCGGTTCCCCAGTTTTCAAGTGTTTTTGTCTTTGATTTGTGCCGTCGAGATGTCGTGAAAATAGAAGAAAAAAGGGAAAAAGATAGAGGAAACGATGATGAAAAAAGAAAAAAGACCGGAGCAATTTGTGAAGCAATAGTTAGCTCTAACACAGAGCATGAAGAACAAGAAGAAGAAGAAAAAAGAGACATGATGGTGCTCTCTGCCACCAGGTTTGGAAAAGCGACTCGATTAGAGAGAGAAATGTCTCTCCCTGGGAATGGACGACATGCAAACCAATTGTTTCTCTCATGGAAACACAGGGAAACGAGGAAACTGGAGAAGAAAAGGAGAAGAAGAATAAAAAATGAAAAATCAGGAAAGGTTTAAACATCTTCCAGGACGCATTCTTATTCTTTTTTATATTTGTTCTATCGGTCCTTTTTTATAAAGGTACGGAAGTAAAACAAAGAATTCTTGACCTCTCTATCTTTACTTTTTTTAGGTAACACAAAGACTACAAAGTTGGGGGTTTCTTATAAATTGATTATATTGGTGAAAAATGATTAATAAGTTCTATTCAATGAATGATACTACCATGAATACTTCAAAACCTGTAATAGAAGGGCGCCTAACTTTTAACTTTGAGCTAATTTATTTCGGCCCCTGTTAAAGATATGCAAAATATGTCAACTGATAAATTGTTTATCATAATATCACAAACACTTTCTCAGTTGACATAATTTTGATATCTTGCATAGGAGCCAAGAAAAGTTAGCTCACACTTGACAGTGTTGAGACTTTTCTATTACAGGCTATACGGTAATAGGTTTCAGACTATTTTTTGAGAGAAATTCAAAAAAAAAGGACAAATCTGTATTTAAATAATTCTCAACGTCAATAAATAAACTTGTATCATATGTACAGGAAAAGTATCACAAAAAAACTTTCGAGTGTAAGATAGTTAACTTTGAAATTTGGAAAATTAGTCCAAGATTTTTCGATTTGTCTGAAAATTTCTAATTTAAATTAAAGTTTCACTTCTGTAATTGACAATATTTCTTAAAGAAAATACCACGACGCGAGATAAGCGGTTTTAAAGTGGGACAACTCTTGTTTCAGTTATAATTTTGGTATTTACTTTCCTTTTTTGGTTACAGACGGAATATCTCATCAGACTGGAATTTTAGCGAAACCTTTGTCAAACCACTCTAATAAAAGGTCACTCTTTACTTGCATTTTGAGCTCAATTATCTCAATTTCTGTGAGATATATCAAAAATCTGCCAACTGATAAAATGTTTTTCATAAATACATCAACATTTTATCAGTTGAAAAATTTTTGATATTTCTTAAACAAAGTGAGATAATTCAGCTCAAAATGCATAATGATACTAACACCCCATTTTTGGGAATTCCAGAAAAACTAAAAACTTCAGAGAAACTAGAAAGTTTTAAAAAACCGTTGCATATATAATGATTTTAAGTTGCTCACAGAAAACATCGAAGCAGTAGAAGATAAAAAAGCAAAAAGAAAGAATAAAGAAAAAACAAAAAGGGAAACAGACGGACTGCGCGATTCGGAAAATGCCAATTTTCCCACCACACACGGATTATAGTTGTCAGGCAGAAGGCAAGGCGAGTCACCGATATTCGTTTAGGAAAAAGAAGAGAAGACTAACAAAAAGTTGTTCGAGATGATGATGATGGAGTTGAATTTGCATGTGGAGGAAGTGTTCAATGGGGAAAGGAGATTAGAAAAGGTAGTGATGGTGGTACGGTACCAAAAACAACTGGAAGAGAGGATCACGTCATCTGGGGAAAGACACTCTGTAGAAAATTGAGAAACCTAGAAGTAACTCAAGCAACCATTGAACTTGAACTAAAGGTGTCATAATGAAAAAGGTTGCGAAAACGAAAAAGAAAGGAAAAAAGTGCGAAGAACTCGTTCGAGTTGTCTTTGATGATCGATCGACTCTGACCATCAATCTGACAAGAATAATCACTTTTGACGAGTCTCCGATGGATGGCTCTTTGGAGCACGAGAGAGGGCGGTCCAAGTGTAATAAAAACATTAAGAAAACGATGATTTACTAGCTTATGTAGAGCAAAAAGTGGACTTCTTTTTTGTTTTTTTTTTCACAAACGTTCTTCTTTTTTCCTTCTTCTTCTAAATGGGGTTCTCAAAAAATTCATTTACTTTTTTCGAACTAACCCCGTTTTGGAACCACCTTTTTGGCACGACCTCTAGTCTTGTTTAACGGAATTTTCATTTATTCTATTTGTTAGACCCTGTTTGCGTGGGTTGGGCCTATTAGACCATTTTTGGAGCAACTTTTTTGCGGTATGAGTTTCATAGGATCCAAAAAATTAGATGATCGCCCTCAAAGGACCTTCTTACTTTGAAAAGAGCTAGAGTCGGAATTTCTAATGTGAACTTAAACTGAGCAGCTGTATCTATCTTCTCTACCAACACCAGAGGTTGAAGTTCTTAACAAAAAGGAGATATCTTTTTTTCCTTTCAAACGGATAGATGTCTTCTCTTTCTTTTCTTTTTTCTTCCATCCAATGCCACATCAACCGCAACTGTTCATGACTCTCTATCATCAACTCCTAGCATATTTTCCAAACATTTCTTCTGATGACGATAATGATGATGATCACAATTTTTGTCTCTTTTTGCTCTTCAATTACTCGAAACAAATTGAAAATGTTAGGCATCGATAGTTAATGAAGAAATGAGAAGAGTGGATGAAATGAGCAAAAATTGAACATTTTTGAGAGAGTAAACAGGCAGCGAATTGAATTTTGGAATTGGAAATTGGGTGACCAAAATGAATGAAAATTGAGGGTATTTGGAAGATCAATGGGGAATGATGGGAGGGTTTCAGAGGTTATTGGGGGTAAACTGGAGAGCTTTTTCTAGTTTATAAAGGATGTCTTCTAAAAGTCACACAGAATTTAGCGCTAGCTTTGCCGGCAAGAAAAGGATATCGAAGCTGAATTCGGAATTTCAAAAATGTCGACTATTTTCGGAATATTTCAAAAGTTTTTGCGGAATTAAAACTTTTTGGACTACGGTATGTCAAAAGCACACTAAAAGTTTCCTTGCGGGACTCGAGTGAAATTACTGTAAAATTTCCTCTCGTTTACGAAATCTGTTTGTTAATTTTACCAATTTTTGGGGTTTTTTGCGCTTGTTTTGTGTCAGTAAGATTTCTACTTCAAAATTTGAATTTTTGAGACTCCGCAATTCCGAAATCCTGAAAATCGGAATTTCCGATGTTCCGAAAGGTCATTCCGATCATCCCTGCTCTATGATACAGTTCGGTCCAAGTCATTTTCCAAAGCCGGAGTTCGAAAAATATAAACTGTAAGCAATAGTGGGAAGCTTTAGAGATTGAGGTAGCTATCAGCTGGAACCTCCAAAATCAAAAGACTAGCATCTTGGTGTATTTTTGAAAAATTGAAGAACCAAGAGAAAACGGATAGAAAACCTAAAGCGATTCAACACCTCATGATCTTGGAACCAGGTAAAATACCAAAAAGCTTTTAGATTTTCCCATTTTTCCGCCCTATAATCACCTACTTTAATCTTTTTTCATTGGGTTTTTGTGCTGAAAGAAATCTTAATGGAAACAAAACAAATAGAATGAGGAACTGAAAAGAGAGAGCACCTCCTTGAACTTGTTCTCTCTTTTCTTTCTCCTATAGACAATAACTGGCAATTATTCTCGGATTTCGAGGACCCCTCCTAAAGCTCGTCGAGGCGTGACACATCCTGGAAGAAGCACACGAAGCACAAGACCCCAAATGCTTCGGTTTGTATTAGAAAAAGGTCTCCCGAAAAGTGAAAACTCATACAATATTGATGAATTTGAGTGCACAGAACAACTCGATTATTCGGTCATTTTTCGATTAAATTCCGCGTTTTGTATAGGTGCCCAAAAACCAGAAGACGAGGTCATAGGATGAGAAATTGAATAGAATTTTCGAGTAGATCAAAAATGTTAATGTTTTTTGAAACCAAAACCGTCATTTTTAAGATGAAGGGATGCACTTGGGTCCCAAGAAACTGGTCAGAAAAG